TTTACTCCTCATTAATTTAGGCAGCAGCCTGCACTACTGCTGTGAAACAAAGCTGCTAACCAGCTGAGGCACCTCTGGTTTGATCTGCAGTGGACGCTTGTCTTTTAGATTTGTTTTTTAATAGACTTCCAGGTTCTCACGTTTTTGTCACTTGTGTCCCTTGCTCCCTCTTTTCCTTGAAACTTTGCTAAAGCGCTTTGCGCCGTGGCCATTTTTTGCCACCCCTATCACAAAGGGCTGTGCTGTTCTGTTTGTGCTTATAATGTACCCAGATGGTGAATAGAATGAGTGACCACCAAGCTCATTTTCACTTGTGGGGTCAGACCTTTCTCGGCTAAATAACACAAGTGTTCCCAGCTGCAGTGCAGCTGCAGGGAGTCTGCTTTCCTTCACAAGCATTAAAAACCCTTTAATCAGTGTTTGTTGTTTGTCAGCAGTGGTGTTGAGGTGTGGAGAAAAAGAACAGATATGCTTTGTTGGCAAAGTTAACTTTATTTTGACCTCTTATCTTTCCTTTTTCTTTTCAAGTCTGAAGAAGCAGAAAGTAGTTTGGGAAGTGGTTTCTGCAAGCACCTGTGTAAATGTATTTGCTAAAGGAGGAGGTTTATGTCCTTATACAGATACAGCATTTGACATGAAACGATGCTCTGAGAACTGCAGTGAACTCTTTAGAGCAGGGGCTTTCAAATTGATTGGTGTTGGAACAGAGCAGGATCCGTTAATGTAAGCAAATACTGTGAAAATGTAAGCATTGTTGCCTCATTCTAATGTTACTTATGCTAATTTTAGTATGGAGTCTATGTTTAACAAATACCATTTAAATATGGTCAATTACAACATTTTCCTAGAAAATAGATTCTTCCAGCTAGTTTTTGTGGGTTTTGTTATTGCTGTTTGTTTTGTTTTTGCTTCTGCTTCTAATAGTTCTTCTCCCTTGGAGGGAAGGGAGGAGAGAAAAGGACTGATAAGCCCAGTAACACCCTTTCCAGCCTCATTTGTTTTGGATGTCATCTGATCTGAAGGAAATGAGAACATGGGTATCAAGAAGAGGCTTCAAGAAATCTCAGAGCTAAGATAATGATTTCCCTATTCTTTCTGGGTGAGGCTTTGGAATGGTTAGTGCTGCACATTTTTTTGCAGGGTTACTTTTTCCCTGAGTGCAGAACTGCTTACATGGTGTGTCTGTGTGTGTGTGCAGCGCCCAGTATACCTGCACATGTGCTGATCATCCCATTGTTTGCAAAGCCTGTTTGCATGGGAGCCTCGAGGCTGTTAGGACTTTGATTCTATATTCAAGAGTTATAGGACAGTCTGTGTGAAAAGCCCGATACCTGATCTCCTCTCTGAAGGGAGCAGAAATTTGTGGGGCTGCTGCAGTGATGCCAGTGGGGTTGGTGGGCAGCATGTCTGCCTTGCTTATGGCCTTCCCTGTCCCAGTGGTGCCTCCTGTTGCAGCCAAGGGTTCTCTGGGAGCTGCGTCCTGCTCACTCAGAGCAGGGAGGAAGGACTGGAAACAAGGAACTTGTGAATTGTAGTCCTAGCTGTGACAGTGATAGATTTGAGTGCTCTTCCATTTGTTTCCTGCCCCAGATGGGCACACACATTTCAGCATTCATCCAAGCATTTTTCTGCTGTACATTGCTGAGGCTGCTAACAAAGGAGCATTCTTGGAGAGGCAAAATGCTGGAAAGAAAACATCCTGCGTGTGCTGGGAGGGGATGAGCACTCAAGATAACTGTTACCTTAAGTATCTGTGGATGGACTGGGTTGGTGATTGCTTGTGTTACACGAGCACCTCTAGAAATGGTGGATAAAGAGCCACCATTTTGTTATCTGAAAGCTGCCAAGCAGAGGTGAGGGCTCAGAGCCATGGTGGAGCAGGTGTCCTGACAGGGGTGGCTTTGAGCCTTTAGCAATGCCTGCAGGGAATGCAGCCTTGCTGGCAGTTCTAGCTGCTCACGTGGACCCTGATCAGACAGGCACAATCCTGGATCCTTCTGGAAGTTAATGCAAACTTTGCTATTAAAATCTAGTTGAACAAAACAAGCACCATCTTGTGCAGCTACATAAACCATAAACTTTTTGGCAAGGCAGGTGTGGCATCTTCAGTGCCTGGAAAGCACCTAACATGCTGTGTGGGCTCCCTGCTGTAATCCAAATTACGAATGCTAAAAAGGCTTTGATATATATATTTTTTTAGGTGGTTCTTGGCTTCATTTGGGTAGGCAAGGACTTCATAGAGACTGCATTGGGGCACTCTGCATGTTTCCTCAGGCCCTCGTAATTAATCAATGTCAAGCTATTCCTTCCCATCCCTCTGTGAGGAGGCACCCATGGAAAGCTGTCCCATAGCCCTAGTTTCAGCTCATTTGTATTGGCTGCCTGAGAGGGGCTTTGTGTTCCTCATCCATGCCCTCTCTGGGAGCAGAAGCAGTCCTGTCCCATATGGCCCTCTGGCAAGTATTGTGGTGCAGGCAGCAGGAGGCTTAGGTGAGTTTTCAATATGTTTGCGATATGGTTTGATGGTGGAAACTAATGTTCTGTTTTTTGGTGCTCCTCTGGATAGCTCTGTGGAACTCAGTTTCTGACACAAGGAGTTTGCAAAAATGACTTCATGCTGGTAGCTCAAGCCCTCAGAGTCATGATAAATGACAAATATGCCTATCCTTCTGAAGCAGAGTGGCTTCTGTGTTTAACTGAATGCTTAACCACAGCATGTGTACTGTGCTATGCTGTCAGGCACTTCTGCTTTTAAAGTCTGTTTACACAGACAGCTGAAAAGCTTTGCAAGTCTTTCACAGTCTCTGATATTACACACTGGGAGGACGCTTCAGCATCACCAGTCTGCTGCCTGTTGGTGTATGTTTAGAGACACTGGGGATCTTCGCACCTCAAGAGCTACAGAAAAACATGGCTGTACCAGAGTAATTTCAGAGTAAATTCAAGCTAACTTCTGGTAGACACGAACTGGGCAAAAATCTGGTCCGGTTTTACAGTGTTTTTATAGTCTAGTCCAGGTCTCTATAAACCATTTAAAATTGCCTTCAGGTTTAAATTTTCCAATTTCCCATTTGGAACAGGTGTTGCCAGGTTATAGAAAGCATTGCAGAAAGGGAACAAAAACATTTTAAAAACTCTGCTGTTACAAATTTTGGCAAATCTCTGACAGAGGAGGATTGGAAAAAAAAAAAAGTTTGCCCCACCCAAGTTAAAACAAGTGCAGACCTTGCTTACTTTTCCCAGCTGTCAGATTTTAATGGGGTTCTTAGTAACGCATGAGTCTTCAAAAGACCAACCAGTATAGAGCAAATATGTTTTCATATGAAAATATTCAATTTCTCAATTGTTTTTCATCTTGCTTAATTGGGAGGGAGAATGAGAGCAAAGAATTTTTTTTTAAATGTCAAAAAAAAAAATTTCTGAGATGCACATTGCTGGAGTGGTTAAAAACCATCCCAAACTAGGCTTCAGGCAATGTTTTTTCAGCAGCTTTAACCTCAAAGCATGGAGCAGACAGCTTTGTAGGCAACTGTAACACCAAGGTGATTATGGTAGTGACTCACACTTCCCTGTAAGGCATCCAGCTATCAACACACTTGGAGAGCGTGGCTTTGTGCATGCAAGCATGGTGTCAGTCAGTGCCCACTTGCCAGCCAGCTCCAAACTGCAGAGCTCTTAAGTGCTTTGACAGCGTGCTGGGATCGTGGTGTGTCAGAGAGCAGCTCTGCTTCCCTCTGGCTGGAGAGAGGCTTTAGAGATGGAGCTTAGCAAGGGGAAGTGCAAGACAGGTTTAACTTCCCATCCATTTTCCTTGCTTAATCCTCATGGCACTCATTTAAAGTCTGCTGTGAGCAGATAGTTGGGTCTGGGGAAGAAGTGAGGATCTGACTATCTAACCACTAAGCAAGCAGTGAAAAGGGCTGCTACTACACTGTCCTGATGAAACTCTGGGCCAGTGATGATGGAAAAACAAATAGTAATCAGGATCCTTGGGAAGGCAACATGAACTTGGGAAAGAAAGCTGGTTTTGCTGCTGGCTGGTTGGAGTGCAGCTGGGGCTGTAATAGTAAGCCATCACCAGTTGTTGGGCTTTGCAGGGAACAAGCTGGTGGAAGGGGAGGGCTTGTCGTTACGTGCATTGTGGCTTTCACTGTCTCCAAAATATAAGGCAGAAACTAGGCTGACTTCAGAGAAGGGAAACAGCAGTGATGTGTGGAGGACATGAGGGTGAGGATCTGGGATGCTGGTATTTCTGTGCTCAGAGACTGATGAGAAAGGAGTGCCACGTGCACGTAGAAAAATAGGTTGCATCTGCATTACATGCTTGGAAAGAAGAGGCATTCAGAAAGATGGCAAATTCAAATCTTCTATGGGAAGTAGTTTTTCAAGTAGTTTGCGGTTAGATTGTCAGCTGGTGACATGGGGAAGCAGCAAAATGTGGCCTTGTGAGTGTGTAGCTCTATGATGCTGCAAGCGGTATCTGCCGATGATATAAGTAATGCTCTAATAAACAAATAAACTGGTGATATAAAGCTGGCCACATCCATGGTTCACCTACAATCTTGATAGGTTGTTTGGGTTCCTCCATCTTTGGTGATGGGTTTCTTGCACCTCTGACTAAAGTTGTCTCGTACCAGATGCTGTTTGTGTCAGGGCACTGGGCAAGCTGGGCTGATGTGACTCAGTATTGCCCTTCCCGTGTGGGTTGTGTTTGGCTTTGCACGTCTTGTGTTTTCAGAGGTGAGGCAGAGTGAGTAATATTTCCCTTCTATTAAAGAAAATGGAATGGCAAAGACCCTTAAAAAATAAAAAAAATAAAAAAATGTATGTGTTTCATTTTAAGTTCCCTTCAGGCAAAGTCAGCTTTGGTAGGCAGCTTAAACTGCATTGTAGACTATATTGCTATTGTCAGAAAAACAAAGTGTGCTGTGCTGTGTTTTGGGAAGCAAAACTAATTTTTTCCTCCCACTCTCCATCCCTTTTTTTCTCATTCTCTTCAGTTTTTAATAAGCGACCGTGACAGAGACCCTCAGTGTAACCTGCACTGCTCCAGGTCCCAGTCCAAACCACTCTGTGCCTCCGATGGCAGAACGTATGAGTCCATGTGTGACTACCAGCGAGCCAAGTGCCGGGAGTCAAGCCTGAGCGTGACACATCGTGGCCGGTGCAAAGGTAGGTGGATTTCAAACCCCCTTGAGGGGGGGGAATGGCAGTCCTGCCCACTGACAGACTACTTGCTTGAGTTTGTTACCATGCACGGAAAGTAAACTGATTGAAATAATGCATCAACAAGGGCATGGATATCTGAATCCGTGATGTGGGTGACGGGAATAAGAACTAGTGGAATTATCAATGAAAGAGGTCAAAGAAATCAGAGACACCAGAGAAGGCCCCAAATGTGTGTCTGTGGAGCAAAATGATCTGACTCGTGGAAATGCAAAACCAGATCCTCCAGGAGGAGGTTTTCCTTGCTATTGCACCGGAGAGAAACTGGGATACCTTTGGGCGATAGGAGCCTGGAGTGAGGAACAATGTGTGTGCCCATTAGATGATGTGCAAGCCTGAAAAAGGACCTTTTCACTATTTCTGTACTGAGCTAAATAAGAAGACAGAATGCATGCAAGTCTTCACGTGTCTTCTGCCATTACACCTTTACTTAGAAGTGAGGATATTGTCTTTCTCTCAATTCAGCATTTCTTCTGCGTAGCATAGAGATAAAGCTGCAGCTTTTTATTTTAGGAATGTTGGTGTCTTGTCACACAAACGGTTTACTTCTGCAGTGAAGTGAAAAATCATCGAGTGCATTTTCTGAGAGCACAATTGACTCAGGGGGCAGATGGCACAGATGTTTTTAGCAATTGGTTAAAGTGACAGGAGAAACTCATTAGAATCCCTGTGGAAAGATAAATGGTTGAAAAAGGCTTACTTTTATGATTTTTCTTAGCACTGCTGGGTTGTTTTATGGCAGTTCTCTCCTACAGCAGAGTGGCTTAAATAAAGAAAAAAGAAAACCCCAATTCTACACTGAAACTGGCGCATAAACTGGCACCGTTCAGTCATTTAAAACATAAGATTTGTAATGTGGTACAGCTGTGTGCAAAAAAACTTCTGTTTCTGGAAATGACGAAAATGCTGATTGCAAAACTGTACAGTCTATCATGATTGCAGGGGCTCCCAGGGAAATAACTACTTTTGTTCTCTTAAGCACAGGTGAAGTACACTTTTCCTTTTTGCACACTCAGATAACTGAAATATTTAGCTGAAACTGCTTGTATTCTCCATTCCCTTTTCCCATCACCCTGTTTCACTGCACAGCCGCCTAATAACATGATAATGTTTGACAACTGCAAGTCTTGCTTTTAGCCCACTGTCTAACATTTCAGTGAATCTCTCGGAAGTAGAAATAATCTTTTAACTAGTATTTTTAACTTTGCTGGTGCTGCTATAGAAAAGTGCTTTATTCTTCTAGTCATGGTGGGAGTATGTCCTCTGCTTGTGCATAGAGATCATTGTTCTTGCAAATGCAGACAGCTGCAAAACAGGTGTGCCTAACTACAGGTCTGTATCTTGTATTCTCAATAAGGGAATAGCACCAGTAGTTCTTGAGCACATTCTACCACTGGCAGTGGAGCACTGTGTTCATGCTAAACAGCCTTTGTTCCTCCTGCATGACAAAGGTATTCTACAGAGGAACTCCTGTAGAACTAGAAAGGATCCTGGAGACACCATATCCAAGACTTTATTCTTGTGAAATTAGCAGTCTTAACTTGTGCCTCCTTCCCAGAGGGGAAGTGGAAATTTGGTAAATAAAATAAGGAAAAGAGGAAGTACATTGTCCTGGGCCCAGATTACCTTAGGTTTCCAAGTTCATATCCTGATAACTTGAAGTGTGCTACACTAAGGCAAGCAGAATAGTTTCCATAGTGAGAACAGAACCTTTTGGAATCAGTTTTGCTTTCTTCTCTCTCAAGAAGCCTTTAAAGATGAAATCTTGTCATTCCTTCAGGAACTGTAACTTTGATTCAGTGAAATTCATCCAGTACTAAATTATCCTAACTCCTTCCCAACCCTTACAGACACACCAGTCCTGAAGGATTAAAAGTCAAGAATAGCTTAAAATGATCAAACAGTGGTATCCATGACAAATGGAGCCTTGTTGATGAGATTTCAGAGAATCATTCCAGATGGCATAGCTATGTGTAAAATACATTGCAAAGCACATGTACCCAGATCTTTGGTCAGCTGGCCTGGTAAGACCTTATGTTAAATAAAAAAATTCTACAGGAATGATGGACAAATACTAGTTAAATGAGTCTTGGCAAGCTCTCAAGATTGTGAGTGATTTTTTGGGTATATTGGGTATCTGTGTCTTAAGCACCTAGGTTCAATGTTAACTGGCAATTTGTAGGAACTTGTTTGCCCTGTTTAATTAAAAAAGGAGTTGGGATGTATTCTGAAGTCTTCCCTTTGGATTTATAGTGTTTGGTTTTGAAAAGTGATGGTACAGAACTTGTTCTGCAATTGTAAGTCACTGTGTAGGATGAATCTGCAAGTTACTGATGGGAATTGGAATGGAAGTCTTCAGCCTGTATTCCTGGGAGACCTTGGTGAATGCAACTTTGGCTAGTGTGCTGGAAAGGGGGATCTTGTTGTGACTAGCGATGCGTTGCTTGAAAGGTCTTTTTTCCTCTACCTAATTGTTCTCATTGGGAGGGAAAAATTTTTCTTCTTTTTTCCTGTCCCTTTGCTAGATTAGTGTATTTCATCTTTGAACTTCCTTATTCCTATTGAAGGGTAGAAAAAAATAAGTTCCTCTTTCTCAAAATCTGATATTTTCAATCCTTTTTCAAATTTTGGCATGTTTTTAGATCTGCTCTAAATAAGGTAGGGAGCAGCAGTGGTGTCTGGGTATCAAAGATGCAGCAAAGTATGCCAGCATGGAAGGAAACATGTTGGAGACTGCAGGACTTTAGAAATGAAATGGAAAACAGTGGGGAGTGTGGAAAATGATTGACATTGTGTGAGACAGATGAGCACATTTTTGTAGTTGGCTCGGCTCCCATTTTTGCCTATTTCGTGTAAGAACATGGATCATTGGCTGGAGAAAACGGATATGAATCTGCTGATTTCAGAACAGCTGGACTGTCTTGCGTCTGATGGGGGTCTGGCTTGTGTGAGGTGGTTACCTAATGCAACTGTTAATAGTTCAAAAGCTGTTTGGATCAATTTTTGCCCTTTGGGCTTTTGATAAAAACAAATCTAAGTAGCTAGATTTTTGTGGTTACATAGCATAGATTTGCTGCTAACGTTCTGTAGATGCCCAAAGATGTTTTGCTTTGTATTATTAGGATGCCTTTAGTCTTCATACCATGATGTTGTGTTGTGTCAAAACTGCCTCTACCTGTTGAAGAGAGGATGCTGGAATTCTTGGGACTTATTCAGGAGTGCACTGTGTATATTATGAGGGACATGGTGGTCTTCTTTGAATAAACTATTCATGGATAAGATCAGCCATGGTAACTAGCCAACTTCATTGCAAAATCCAAAATTACGTGCACCTGTAGTCTGTAGATTAGGCCCCAGATGTTAGAAACATCACGTGTAGTTCAGTCTCCTGGTTGCCAGCTACCAGCCTGAGAATGAATTTTCTTTAAAAGGCAACTTTCTGAGCTGCAGTGAAACTGTCTTAAGTTTGAAGGCATTTAAAATAAAATTATTAAACAGCTTGGCTTTTTGAAAGGTTATCCTGTTTTGTTTTGTTTTTTCCCACCTTACTTATGGAAGGGGAGAAGATGGTCTTTAATCTGAGGTGTGAAACTGGAATGCAGTAATGACATTCTGTTTTGTAAGCTTGGTGTTTGATAATTCTGAGAACATTTTTAAGAAAAGAGAAGAAAAAGTATGTCTTATATTTGGGGTGAGCCATTTGGCAGCTACTTTTTAATGTTTGGCACTTATGTAATATTTATATTTTATAATTAATAAAGCAAAAATAGCAAGGTGAAGTAATCCCACTGAAATCACATGTTGTTGCAAACATTATAAAAATACCAGCCTGTGCAGTGAGGAAGAGAAGGATTGACAGTCCTTTTTAAAAACAAATGGGTAAATGTTGATATTAGAGGCACTATTCTTACTGGAACTGATCTGCGAAACAACAGACAAAAAAGATAGCAGCAGCAGTAGAGATGATTATTCCAAGTCAAGATTGTAAGAGGTCCAGCATGACCCTCGGAAATCAATGAGGGAGGATGGGAGAAATAATTAGTGCTGAGTGTTTGTGAAGAGGAGAAACATTTGCCATCTTCTCTGTGCTTCTTCAGCAACAATTTCTGAGATGATGCCTCTTGAACAAAAGGTTGAGTTGTGAAGGAGGATGTTGCAACAGTGATGAGCTCTTAAACTCTTTATTGTAGTGGTGGTGTGCTACACAATGTGATTCAACTATGTGAAAAGAGAGTTTTCTCTGTAAGGACCTCTTAAAATTTCTAGAAGAGATAGAAGCACTTCATTGTACCATGTTTATACCATCTTCTCCTTATGGTGAGGGTTGGTTTTGTGTGCATTAGGCGAATTGAAAAGGGATTGGAGATGACAGTCCTCTACCTGGACTCCTAGCATCTTCATGCTAGACGGGTATCACAAAAGGTTTGTTCCTACCATCATGGTGAAGCAGGATGAACAGGTTTCAGTTATGTAGGTACTGCTGTGCACGAGAGTGAAGTGCACAAGCACTGATGTGGATGCTATGTGGAAGTGCTTTATATTTCTTTTTTGTAATAATGTCCTATGTCATGCCAAGCAAGATTAGACTCCTGGGCTTGAACAGGAAATCTGCAGGTGATGGTTAGATATTCCAGTTAACAGCATTGCCAGTGCTTCTTCTCCAGCAAAAGTAACTAGCATGTAGCTTGCAAACCTGTCCTCCACTGGAGGTGTGCAAACAGAGTCTGACTGTCTGGACACTTTTGCATCCAAAAATTGAAATTTCAGCCTTCATGTTGTATCAAGGCTAACTTAATCAGCAAACAAAAAAAATAAAACCTACTACTGCTTCTCAAAATTCAGTGTAAATTTAAGACAGTCTTTACACTCTGTAATAATCTTAGTCTTTTTGTGAGTTCACCTTAGGTCCACCTGAGATCAAAGGCCCACTTGCTGAGGGCGTTGTGCAAACCACTGGCAAACAAGTTACAGTGTAAACATGGGAGTTATACAGGGTCAGTGGGGATACAAGGTCATAGGGAGGTGGGGTCTCTGGTTGTTGGTCAATGGCAGAACTGTTGCAGGCCTTCTTGCTTTGTAACCCAACACTTAAGCTACAGATATCTGTGCTGAATAGTTTGCTGCAAATATTGATCTTGTTTTTTTCCGAACAGAAAGGGCCTGATTTCCATAATTTCATAAGACTTTTTAAATACTTTTGGGGGAGTGTTTTAATGTGATACATTTAAAATGAAATTGCATAGACAATATTAGCAAGCCTGAATCTTAGTCTCTTGACTCATCAGTTGTATGAAGTTCTCATCTTGAACACTTTTTTTAATACTTAAAATCTTTCAGTCTGTGGATTTCCGTAAAAGAAAGGAGGTGCTGCTCCCTGTCAGTCCCATAGAAGCAGATGTTTGCTGTTTTCCTCCTTTACAGTCTGAACAGCAGTACTGTTAAACACTGTGCTTTTGAATGTAAACACAGAGTTGATCTATATCTCTATGGGACAGAACTCTCCTTTTTGACCCATCAGTCAGTCTTATCTGGGCCTACATTCTGTTAAGGTGCACTAAAGCTGGAAGGGTTTAAGGTCATGCTACATGCAGCCATCAGCTGAAATAAGTGCAGAACTGAATTTTTAACCCCTTCAAGCTCAACTCACAGAGCAACATTTCTTCTTGCTGGCAGGGAGCTGTTATGAGGTGGTGTAATGCATTCCTAGCTATAAGCTATGGGACTAGAGGTAGAAGATGGGTTTCAGTAAACCACAGACAATGACACATCTACTTTGTCATGACATGAGGGTGAAAGCTTAGCTGGTTAACTGGTTATTTTGGCATCTAACTGGGAGAATTGCTCAGAGAATCTTTGCTTTCACATTGTTCATTTCTCAGCTTAAATTATTTGGCTTATGCTCAGTTACAGGCTGCTAACAGTTGAACAAACACAACTTCCTCCAGAAGGACCTTTCACTGTGTAAATATTATACATGGAAGAAGCCTCTAATGTAGATGACCGTAAATGCTGCTGCTAAGAGGAATTAGGCAGCTCTTCATTAATTGTTTCAAAGCTTGATGCTATAGATTTGTATTTGGGAGTCATCACTGCTAACTCCATAGCTGCATTTTAATGTGTAGATAATGGTTGTTGATGTCTTTTTTTTTTTTTTTTTCCTTCCTCTCAGCTGTATCGTGCACCTGGTAGCTATGAAGAATCCAAATGGTTATTTGCAGTCTAAGTGGGGTTTGCTTCTCTTTTTGTAGATGCTGGCCAAAGCAAGTGTCGATTAGAGAGAGCTCAAGCATTGGAACAGGCAAAGAAGCCCCAGGAAGCAGTCTTCATCCCAGAATGCAATGAGGATGGATCATTCACGCAGGTAAAGGTTTTCTTGCCTTCCTTCAGTAAGGCTATTAGTGATTGCAGGGGATTTACTGTTAAGATGTGAGCTAAGTGAGGATGGCAATGTGGGTACACAGCCTGATTACTAAAGTGAAGGTGCTGAAAGCTGAGGACTTTAACCAATAGGAAACTTTGATTCAGTCAATGTTTGTACCTTAAGACACATGCATTTGTGATGTCATCTACCTCCATTGTAGCACAGAAGCAAATCATCTAAGCTGGAAGTTGCTGGGGAGACCAGGTTTTCTCTTAAGATGAGCTGAAAAGTGCATTTTAACTCAGGTAGTACCGGGTGAACCAAGCTCACTCTTCCTTTACCTGTGCTTCATCTTTCTCAGCATAAGAGTGGTCTACTGAGCCTCTTCCCTCTGTATGGCACTTGTTGACATACTCTTGCTTCTTATTCTTTGCCCTATTGTGGCTTGAGGATCTAGAAAGGAAGTGCTGAGAATTGTTTAGAGTTTCTGATTCTTAAGTGGTTACTTACTGGAACTAAGTGGTGTGCTGGGTCATAGACTGTTACATAACGTTGCTTTTCTTGAGAAGCAGTTATCCCAAGCAGGGATAGCAGGAGAGGCTCATTGTTTGTTGGCCTTTAATATCTGTGCAAAATCAGTAGTCAATTGTGATCACTGAAAATCTTTTGCAAATAATTCAACTGGGAGAGGTCCTGCAGGCTCCCAAAGAAGTTGGAATAGTTGTGGCAAAAGGAAAGCACTCTCGAAGGAAATTTGGAGAGGAAGAGTGGTCTGCTAATCATAAAACAGTTTGGGTTGGAAGGGACCTGAAGGATCACGTAGACACCTTTCACTTTGATCAGGTTGGTCAAAGCCCCTTTGATCAGGTTGCTCAGAGCCCCATCCGACCTCGCCTTGAACACTTCCAGTGATGGGACATTGCCAATGCAGGGTAGAAATGTGCAGCATTATTTGGCTCTGTTACCATTGGCATTTTGAGTAGTGTTCTAGTGCTGGATGTTAAAAACGGTTCGTGTGCTGTTCCCTGGCAGATAGGATACATAAGATGTTTGCTCGTTGTGGCAGATCTCAAAAACCCAAATTCTGCATCTTTGGTGGCTTTTTGAGCTTGGGCAAATCACGCAACATTTTGTCATAGCTTCCCTATGTCTAGCACTGTTCCAGATATCTTGTATCCCTGAGAAATCTGAGGATTCGGTAGCTGTTTTTTGCAAAGTCTTTGGAGGGTTTTAAAAAAATCCAAAATAAAATCAATATTGGCTTCAAAAAGAAGAGAAGCTCAGAAAGCTTTGGGGCTGGTTCAAACACTTTGCAATGCCTGGGGAAAAAGGAGGGGAAAGATTTTTTTGTGATAACCCATGAAAAGTCTGTATTCCCTCTTAGCCTTACCCTCCCATTATCTGTTGCGTGGGAGTGTTTTTGTTTTGTTGTTGGGTTGTTCTTTTTTTCATGGTAAAGTGGGGAAAGTTTTATCCATTGTGCCAACTCTACATACTTCTTTGGAGCAGCATCATATTGATGTGCAGCATGGAGCATCTTAGGAAGCTGGGAATAAGAGATATGGCTGTGGTTTCTTAAAATCTGACTGCAGTCTCAACCAATTGTTGAAATTGGATTTTGTGCAGAGTTGCTCAGGTTATGTTGGCACTGGAATGGAATACTTATAAGAATCTAGCATTGCAGCCAACTGATTGTTGCGTGTTGAGCTTCATAGTTCAAGAAGAAAGGAGTAAGGGAAGCTGACTTGTCAGTGTTTGTCAGCTGTCCATCAGCCTCTTGAAGATTAAAGTAGGGGATGCGGGTGAATCTTAATAAGCTAGAATGAGGGCAAAGTTGATAAAGCTTTATTTTAGACAGGCTTAGCTGGTAGATGGGTGCTGGCATCTGGACTGTGGAGCAGTTATTGGGCCTTTTTTCTGCACATTCCCTGGCCAGTGTGGTTTGCCAGTGTTCTCAGCAGCAGCATGAAACTGTTTAGAAAAAATTGTGTATTCTGATCTGATGGCCAAGTGATGTTTCACATTCTTCCTTTATTTAGTTCTATCTGTTGTGAACATGAAAATTCTTTTGTTTTACCTGGCATGTGGAGGAAAGCCCGTGATCCTTTTGCAACTGGCATTAACTGAAATTCATATCATTCCTTGGATCTTAACGCCCTGTGTTCCACATACCTCAGGAGCAAGCTTCATCAGTTGTATTGCAACATTTAAGGTCGTTGTCCCTGCCGAAGATGTGAATGAAAAACAATGGCTGAGGAAGCTAACTGGTTTCAATCTGCATTTGAGCCAAACATTTTAGTTTCTGGTTCAAATTAATTTAACTAAAAAGCATGATTAAAAAGTAGAATTTTGGTAAACAGCATAAACAGCTTTTGCTTCCAGCTGCTCACAAATAGATCTGGTCTGCTGGAGGTTGCTTGGACACTGCATCTCTTTAGCAGAAAATTGGCACCCCCAGGTTCTGCTCTGCAGAAGAGCTGTGTAGGCTGGTTCTTCAAGTGCCTGGGTCTTTCAGAAGTCAGATCTGTGATGTTATTAGTTTATTCTGGTTCAATACCTTCTGAGTAGCTCCATTCAAACTCTAGAATCTCATCTGGAAGCTTACAACAGAGTAGCATCTCTCAGTGATGTTTTAGGAGGAATATCCACTAAGATCTTCAGTTTTGGTTCCCTGTCCCAATTAGAATCTAACCAGTTACACACATTATATACCGTGTACTTGGAGTTGCTTGGGGAAGATTTTTCAGCATTTTCATCCCTGTCATGTAACTTTTATTGCAGACATTTTTAAGATGAAAGAAAAATTTTGATAAAATATGCATGTGTATACATAGAATATCAGTTACAGCACTCACAGATCTTGAGCTGAGCCCCTTCCTTGTAGATGTATACATAGCATGTAGATGTTCAGGCCAACATTGCTGTCTTTGCCATCAGACTTCAAAATATCTGGTTTTGTTTCATTATTGAGTGGAGATTCTTGCTCCCACAAGAATTTCATGACACAGAAACAGCGCAGGTTTGGAAACTGCTTTTGGTAGTGCCAACAGTATGTTCACAGAACCTACTTGATCTTTACCAGATGGAGCTGTTGACTTTATTTCATCATCATCCTCTTGATTAGAAACCAAATTGCTATAATTTGTTGCACTATGAGTGAATGCAGAAAACAGTGCTAAGTGAGGCTTTTTGAGGCAGCTCATATCTACACTTTCTAGCTCCTTGAATTTCAAGCAGAACAAAGCTGATTGAGTTTGGGGGCTGGATCTACCACACTTTGGTTGAGTCTGTAGGCTCAGGAACCAGGGCTTAGCTGCTCTGGTGCTCTGCCCCCTGCAATGTGTGCTGCGTAGGGAGCAGCTGGCAAGGGGGACCTTGCTTGTCTTAGTTCCTTCTGCTATCCTGCAGAAGAACTGGCTCAAAGACCAAACTGTAGTAACAGTGATAGAAGGGAGGAGAGCAAAGACTTTGCTTTGTTTTATGTTTAAACACTTTGAAGGTGTCTTATGTGTCTTATGTGCATTCCTATGGACTCCTTTCATAGCCTGCAAAATCTAGATTGAAAAGAAGTATTGCCACCAGTTATATTGATGGATGTCCAATGTTCCTAGTCAGAACTGATTATAATAAATTTTGTGTACTGCAAGAAGGGGGGCAGCCACCTGTTAATTCCTTATTTTTTGTAACTGTACCTATGCACCATGTCCATTACTTCCCTTGTTTTAGGAGTCCATGTATTGCCAAGACCTTATCAAGCCTCCCTTTTAGTACTGCTTGTACATCTAAAAATATAATGTGGATCTTCAGTGTGGAAGAGGTGGTGGCATTGAAGGCACAATAGAATGACTGTATATAGGGACAGACCTGGTAAATTACTCTGGAGAGTGCAGTAAGGCTATTTCTCCATTTTCCAGTCGCTGTGTGAGGAATATTACTTATATAACAAAAGCTCTCAGTGATTAATCAATAGTAATATAAGCAGGCAGATAAAATTTGAGTTGTTCAGAACATAAGGATGCTTGTTTGATAGGAGTAATTTGATAAATTGTACAGAACTGAGGTCATGTACTGTTGTGCAGAATTGGACATGGCTAAAACCAGTTTCAGTTCCCAAGACTGGCTCTCTCCTTTTTGTTGTTATGCTGTGTTTTGCATAAATGCCATTCCCTTTCCATGCTGCACTTAACCTGCTGTGATCTGTTCTTCATAAACAACAGGCTCTATTGGGTAATCTGCGCACTTTCTTTTGCTGCCTAGTGCCATTGGGCTTGTTGCCATGGGTTGAGAGAGACTTGCATTCTTCATAGTTTTCCCCCAAGCGTTTTTTTTTTTTTTTAGAAAAGGTTGCTGAGGTTTTAAACAGAATCAGTTTCAGACAAATGAATATGAACATGAATAATTTTAACCTTACTCTGAGGGTATAGTCTTGTGTGGCTTTTTGTGATGTCTTGCTGTTTTGCCACCTCCTTCCACTGCTTAGCTTTGTTTTTTTCCTTTCAAGTCTGCCTGTGAGCAGCTGACATATAAATACATATATTTATGGCATTTCTTCAAGGAAGAACCAGTCTAGAGAGCAAAGAAGAAGATTTTTAAAACATGAGTGGGAAACCTTATGGAAAGTGACAGTATAAGATCATTCAATCCTTAATATTAAGAGTCACTTTTTGCTTCTGAAAGAATTAATGTGATTTTAGCTGGGGATTGCTCTCCTGCTTAAAGTGATACCTGTGCAGAGTGTGTCTGCTGGCAGTACTCTTGAACATGGCTGACATGCTTTCGCCACAAATCACTTTTCCCTAATTATATTAAAAGTGAAATCGCCGTGAAACAAATGTTTCCTGAACAGTGCATAGATGTGAGAAAAGGTGCTGCAGAAAGCCTTGGTGGGAATATGGGAATGTGTCTGCACAATGTCATTTGGGAAGAGTTAAATGTGAGCAGGGAACAGAAAAAGTAACGGTTTAAGGGACTGAAATCCCAAAGAAGCTCAAACTTAAGGTGTAGACTAGTTGCTCCCTAAAACTGTCAGTAGAAGAAAGGCAGGCTTCAGACAGTAGTCAGCTGACAGCCTGGAAGAAAGATGGACACAGTCCAGGTCTAAACAGTCCTGCGAGATATTTAAACCAGAGCAGAGGTGGGGAAAGGAGAAATAACCAGCCCCTTGATTCACCTTTGTCAAAAGGCTGAGAATGGAGGATGTGGCCTGCTTGTTAAGAAGTTGAAGACTGCTTGGGAGACTGATTCTGGCATTACTGCTGAGGTGCTGAAGAAACCCAAACACTGGTGACTTTTTCCCTCAGGAATTAAGAGGCAGAGGTGTCTGCAGTGGCCATGGCTTTGATGCTTTCATATTGTAATGAACATGATGAAGGCAGGTGTTCATTCATGCAGCTGGTGGCTAGAGTGGTAGCTGCTGTTTAATTTCACACATTGTGATGGCACAGGGGAATAAGACGCTGCTGCCACACTCTTAATTGGCAGCAGAGCAATTTCTGTTGAGCTTATAACTCAAGCTTTTCATCGTTTGGTTGAGGCACAGCTAAGGTGGCATATCTCTCACCCCAACAATATGAAAAGGGTGTTGTCCTGCATATTCAGGGATGCAGATGCTCACAGGGCTATAAACTGCAGTTCAACTTTTATTTTTTATTTTTATTTATTTATTTATTTGCTTTGAAAGTGTAGCTGTTAGTGGGGAATCTGGAAGACCTCTGATTTGCAGATTTTATTTTTCTGGCTCCCTCTTCTGTAACTTTAAATGTTTAGCTGTTGGACAGGTGTATGGCAGCTGGAGATGTCTAGCTGTCTGTAATTAGCCTTTTCTGCAGCACTGAGCATTCTGGAGCTTGGTCAGTTATTTTGTTTCTAGAAATGATTTAATGTCTTTTTTATGTGTCACAGCATAGTCAGCTTTAGAAGATTAATGAGAGGGGAAAAAAAAGAGGAGTCAAACTCACTTTTGGTGTAACCCAAAGGAGAAACTCGATAGCCAAAGATTAGATTTGTGCAGTAAACCTGTGTCATTTCTACTCTTCTGACTAAAACAGTATTTAAAAATCCTGTTACTGTAGGAGTAAGATTAGACTGAGGATGAATTTCAAGGAGAAAATTTTAATGTGAAACACAACTCCAGCCTAAGATCATTGGAAACTCATTGAAAAAAATGAAAAACAAAACAAAACACAACTGAATCTCCAAGGTTCCTTGCTGTTAGGAACTCTGGAACAATTAATGCTTTACAATGCCTTATTTTGTCTCTGCACAATGCTTAGGAAGGTGCAGGATCAGCTTACTGCCTTTACATTTTTCAAAGTTACAGCAGTGCTGTGTATTTGATGAAGACTATTCCAGTTTTGTTGTTTGTTTTCACAGCCTTTAAGCTGCAAACTCTCTAGTCTGTAGGCCAGTATTCTTATAACATCTTAATGTGCTGAGACCTTTCCAGGTATCATTATGAAAGGCAACATCTCTTCATGAAGACATTCAGGAAAGCCAACTGAGGTAAATTTTTGAGGTTTATGGAGTATGTTTTTCATAGTTGTCCTGTTTTTAGTAATGAAAAGACACTGGCTGAGTTTTCATTGCTCCTTCTGACCACTGTAGGAAAGTCATTTTGTGCTACAGTAAAATATGTGGTAGGTGTGAAAGTGATGTCAGTTTGAGATTTTTAAAATTTTTTTATTCTTATTTCTTGTGGAAAGGTGCTATCTGATACCTGTACAGAGAGGACCAGGTTTCATTTTAGTTATTCACAACATTTCTTTGCCTGTATCACTGCAATATCCTTGAATTGCATAAATGATTGGTACACAATAGGTAACTTTCCAGTGGAGTAAGGTACATAACATACTGTCAGTTGCAGTGTCTATCCTATATCTGTCAGTACACCTTTTGGACTTCTCTGCCATCAACTCTGTTATTTTCTGAAGGTTTGACTAAAGGACTTTCAATTCACTTGAATGTAAAAAAAAAATAAAATGCTAGCTATATAAGGAGTTCCAGAAGAATGATGCTCTCCCATTTTCATGTTAAAAAAGAAAAAAGTAGAAATTAAAGAAGAGAAATAGAAACTTTAATAGAAATTAAAAAACCCAACCATGTTCATTGTACCTTTGTTTGAAAACACTTGAGTTGGGATGTCCAGTTCTGAAAAACTGATCCAAAATGCAGACACTTCTATAGTATAAAATGTAATGATCTTGCTTTTTTTTTTTTTACTATTAGGTCTCAGATGTAAAGACATCTTGTGCTGTTGGGAATGCAATAATGTGCATAAGATCAGCAAAGATAAACATTAAACACGGAAATCCAAGCATTTCTATTCTGTGTATATTAAATATATTCATAATGCTTTTGAATAACTTGCAATCAATTTTATTTTATTTTATTTTGTTATTTTGAGAGAATAAAAAAGAAAGTGTGCAGATAGCAGCAAGAGTGAATTTAGTAATGTGTGTACATGAGAGTACTGTTGATTTTGGCTGCTAAATGTGAATTTGCTTGAGGCAAAATGATTGCTTTGTGCTTTAGTAAAATCCAAGATAAACACGTGGTACTGTGGCATAATTGCTTTTAGATCATGTTTTATGTGATACTCAAAGCCTCTTAAAAAGACCATCGTTAAGTCTCTGAACAAACTCCGCTACCTTAGGGAATCAGAGCCAGCTGTCAGCAAGAGGGGGAATAACTAGTCTAGTTGTGAAGGATCCCTAATGAAGGGAATGGTGCAAATACCTTATTGCTCTTCTGTTCTCTGGGGAGAGTACTGAAAAGGGAAATCAACTTCAGTGAACTTCCTTGGATAAGGCAGAGAATGGACAGAATTCAGCTTAAAAACAAAATTAAAAGGTTTCCGAAGTGATTCAATTTCATGCCTGTATCAGAACTCTATGATAGACCCATCTCTGGGGCTTGTATTAGCATAAGAACTGCTATACCATTCCAGGATGCTGGTATTACTGATGCACAGACTTGGCCACAACTGCAAGTGTGTTTGCTAGGAAGCATTTTGAAAACTGATAGTATTTACACAGATGCCTGTATGATGATCATTTACTTTTGTCTCAAGAGAAGTCAAATGGCATCCTCAGTTTTATCCAAATGCTGATCACTCTGTGAAAGGTGAGGCAAAAGATGTACTGAGGTTTATTTAGCTGGATGAAATTACAGTGCCACAGGAATAATATCTGCATAGAGATCACTAAGAATGCACCTTAGACTAGGTCAGGATTTCTTTTCTCACATATGAACTAGACATTCTGGTGTCCTTCCACAGTGATGGAAAGAGCTAGGGAATTCTAAATGTTAAGTTCAGATGCAGAGGTTTAAACATGAGGTAACTGAATCTTGTGCTGTGCACCTTTTGGCTCATGCATCCCTCATCAAATTCTTGTCAATAGTCAAAGAGCAAGCATCTTGCTCCTGCTGCCTGAGTTGACATAGTAACAAGAGTGAGCGCAAATCTGTCTGGAGAAAGTTTGTTAATATATTAAGTGAAATGTTGTGTTTTTCTAGCTGTGTTTACTGAACAGAATGCTCTCCCAACTCCCACAGAGCGCTGCTCTCAAGCAGTGGCTATGGAAATGGGCTGAGGTGGCCTTTCCTCATTCCAGCTGGGATGCGATAGGACTCCAAGGATAGATTATTTAATAGTGAATAGTAAACAACATTTAGCAAAGGGTGGGATGAGCTGAGACGTGATTGCTGCATACCCAAAGTGAAGTGTTCTCAGATGAGTTTCTGTCACTTCTGTTACCTCCTGAATTGCAGCTAAAGGAGTAGGAAAAATAGCCCTTCTTTGGGGAGGGAGGTGGGAGGAGAAAGTCTTGGTCAAAAAAAATGTGTCCACCAAACAATACTCTTCTATGTGACTTCCTTGCTCTGAAGTATCTCCTCGTGATGCTTCAGGGCTGGGACTTCCACTGAGATATGATTTGTAATAGCAGTAGTGGGTGAGAGAGTGAGAAATGAAATGCCTGCTCTTTGCTTTATCAAACAGGTGCAGTGCCATACCTACACTGGATACTGCTGGTGTGTGACACCTGATGGCAAGCCTATTAGCGGCTCTTCTGTACAGAACAAAACTCCTGTATGTTCAGGTACTGTGGGAGTGGCTTCAACAAATACCTTTTTGATAACTGAAGGGGCATGGGGTGGGCATGTCCTGTTCAGAGTGCTTAATCTTTTCAGGTGACTCAGCAAGTTTACCCCATTTATAACTGCAATTGTTGCTTGTATCTCCCTGTTTGCTTGCTGGCATTTGGAACCCTCAAGGAAGCTTGGGCTGTGGCATTTCCACCTGGCACCAAAGGTACTTAACACTCTTAAAAGGCTCACTGAGGAAAGTCTCTAAGGTAACAGAGTGGAAGCACAGCTTGTGGTTGCTGAGACACAAGCTGCAGTATTACTATGTACACCAAAAACAGCGGTCCCCATGGCAGATGGGATAACTCCTATTCCATAAGCTGTACTTAAGAGAAATGGCTCTCAGATTGCACTGAGTTGGGTTATGGAATCATGTTGCCTTCAGAGGTTGGCAGACATGCACTCAGACTTCGCAAATCACCATTTTCTGTACGTAAAGCAAACTAAAGTTTTGTTTCTCCCCACAGTTCAGTACAGCAACCCACAGCTCAGATGGACTGGGGCTGGAGGAGGGCTTCAGATTTTCGTATGCCCAAATTCCTGGTTTAGATTTTAGCTTTATGGGCTGTGAGCAGAGCTGCAGTGGCTGTTGCAAATACTAGGCACAGGGAGAGATGGAAAGCTGGTTTCTGCAGTTTGGGAGAATTTAGAAATGACACTAGAATGATGACCTGTTGCCCCACAAAAGAAAAGAAAGTAGACATAGGCTTGTCTAACACGTTAAGTAATCCCACGTAGGAGCTGTTGCCTTTGGCTTCATGTTGGACAGTTTGCACCTCACAGGTATTTGATGCATTTCTGCTCTCACACCCTGCAGAGTTTGCCCATTAGGTGGGAGCATGGTAGCAGTCAAACCTTTCTTTTTAATCCTCCTCACCTTTTTCAGCATCTTCTTGATTGTAGGGCATCTTGTGGTAATAAGCAAACATAGTGACTTGTGAGAGTATTCAAGTTGAGTTGTGGAGATATCTGTGGACCAGTGGGTCAAGTAATATAGCTTGAGGGGATGCTTGGTGTTTCACATGTACATGGAAAGAAAGTAAGATCTATGCAGGAATTTGGCTTTTGTCCACCATTCCAGATCTGGCAGAGCACGTTTTAGAATACGTTTTATTCATCTGTTCACTTACTCTTGAGCTGTTTATAAAATTGCATTACCAGTAATCTAGAGTCACTGTGTTTTATAGGACACTATGAATTAGCCTATGGCTGCTAGTATTGTGTACCTGATTCCTTCTTGTAATTTGACAGTAGACCTGTGGTAAACTGGTCTGCAAATTCAAATGCCTAGTCAATAAAGTTTAGGGCTTGTCTTGACTGGACTCTCGGTGCTGTCAAAGCTGCCTCCTTAAAACTAACTTTAGATCTATGTTTCCTGAAGGGATAGTAGTCACTGGAACTGTTTGGTAACGGTGCACGGAAGAATCAGTTTCCTAAAACTGTTTGACAAAAAAAAAAGAAATGCTTGCTGTGGATTTTTACGCTTTTGTAATAGATTTGTTCAGAAAGCCTTAATTATCTGCTCAAGTTTTAGTGAAAAATTCACAATGAAGCACTAGAACTGTAGAAACAAGTACAGAATCATATATATTATGTGAAATTTTAATTGTATATTTAAGTAAACAGGATGTGTCCTATTCAAGTACCTGCTGTACCTTATGTAATGTCTCTTTTCAAATGGCTGTGGATGCTCAGGGCTTGGTTGAAATCAGTTTTCTGGAAATTGTCCCTCTTAATCCTATTCCTTTAGAATACTGCCCCTTGCATCCCCTGCATGCTCTCCCCACCTGTTTGTGATTTGTTCTTCTTGATGTTTGCAAACCAAAGAAGTGACTCTTATTGATCTTTCCTCCTTGTGCTTGGATTTATTCCAGGTTTCTTACTAGCGCACTGCTGTGTTAAACTCTTGCAAATCACTGGATCCAAATACTAAAGATCTCTTGTTTACCCGCATCCTAATTTCACAGCGTTAATGCATAAAACTTCCTTATGCTGTCCCAGTTGGTGGAAGCCACAGGATCTCTGAATTGTAAACCAAGCTGTTGGCAAGCAAAACAGATGTTTTTTAGATTGAGAAACTGACTGTTTTCAGGTAATATTACATGTTCTGTGTGATCCTTCAGCATCTAAAAATGCTTTTCTTTTTTTTTCTGCTTTAGGTTCTGTAACTGATAAACCATCAAGCCAGGGTAACTCAGGGAGGAAAGGTGAGTGGAGTCCTGTGCTTCAGCAAGTTGTTTTGTAATAGCAAATAGTTCCCCAGCCAAGTCTGTTGAGATAACTTAGAACCTGGGTTTCAAAGCAGCTCTATGTGTAAGAGGCTTACATGCTTTTAGACCTCCCCCTACAGTAGGAGAAATAAGATGACAGTCTGTGCATTACACTATGGATGAAAAACTGTTTACTCTTCTCTGTATTTGTCAGCTGAGAAATGGTAAATGAAAGCAGAGCTTCCCAAAGAGACAGCAGTATGGGATAACCTTTGTTTGTTTGCCTTGTTGTTGGCTACAAGTGTTTCTCAGTAAAATCCCTAGAGATTAGGGATACACTTGCAATCATGATTGTGACCTTATATATACTGTAAAGGTGTGTGGGTTGGTTGTGTTTTTTTGTTGTTTTTTTTTTGTTTAAACTGATCTGCATAAAACCTTCTGGCCTACTGGAGCAGACCTACGTTAAAACTCATCTGCTCTTGTAAACCTTTCTCTTTTGTTCATTAACAATTGACCATCCTTCCTTTCACTGCTTTCTTCAGTCCTTACCTCTTCTGGCAGGGCGCTGGATGTGTCACTATTCCTCTCATTTGTGTATTAGTAGGCCTTCCCTGTGTCCTCCGATTTATGTTCACTGATATAGTCACGGGATGAATGGCCACTAAGCATACACTGATGAGCAATCAAGTTTGTCTTTGGATATCCTACACGCTGTTTTTCAATCCATTTTCTCCTTAAACCCCCTTTCCCCCCCCCCCCCCCCCCCCCAGCTCATAGTCAACTTTTTAGCTTTCCCTTACAATAGAAAAACTAATTTGAGTGCAATCTCCCTCCTACTGGTGAGAATGAAGACAGTTTCCTGGGAGTAGTTCCTGTTTAGATATATGAAGCAAGGTTGTTACTTCTAACTCTAAATCAATTACTCCTGAGACTTAAAAATGCAGGAAAATGCCTACCTTGGTGCCTAATTTTAATTTGAAAAACATTTCTGTGCTGGGACTGTCACTTAATAGGAATTGTTATGCTCAGAGCAATGATACATTTTGAACATATCTTCTCTCCAGCCTACTTGTTGTTTATGGGAGCTCAGGAAAAGGTAAGGAAAAGGAAGAGGCAAGAAAAACTATTAATTTAAGACTGAAGGCTAAAGCATTCTTCTTACTTCAGATAAGGATGTGTCTCTGTAAACCTGTAATTATCTATTAAACCTCACGCCTGTGTAATTGCCACCTGAACATATTGTTATCATTCTATTAATACAACTATTGCTAGTCTGGCCTGAAGTACAAGCAAATCAAGTAGCTCTTGTGTTATTTTAGAGTGGGAGTTGTTTGTAGGCTTTCTACCTGAGTAGTCCTGGTTTGCTCTTCTAGAATTAGAAGCAGCTGACATAGAATTTCATAAGAAACAGAAGCAAAGGGAAAAAGATCTGAACTTTTTGGCTGGAATGTACAGAAGAACTGTAACTGTAAATTTGTAGCATAAATTGAGTGTTCTTCGTGCTGCCTGTGGCATCCTATTTTGGGAATGTGAAGTGTGATCACGTGGATGGAGAAATATCCTATGCAGTCAGTAGCTGTCAAGAAAAGGAAAACATTTCCCCTTGGGCCAGCATGCTTCAAGCAATCATGTAAACTTTACGTCCTCTCCAGTTTTCAATGTGTTAATCTGTTGGAAGCCTCCATATAAGCTTTTCTCCCCCATATTAGAAAAAATCCTTGTGAGTGATTATTACAGTCTGTATAAGTCTTCTGAAACTGAGAAAGCCTTCAGAAGCTGAAATAATTTGGTTTAAAATTTGAGGGAGTTTGCATTACTCTTTTGACTGGTGAAAAATGCCTAGTCTAAAAATGAATTTGACTTTTTCATCAGCATTTCTTGACTGATGTTGTCATGATCCAAAATGGGATTTGTGGTAAGGAAACCTGAAACGAGAACAGGCAGCCTGGCTTCCCTGAAGCATATTGTTCCCTGGAGGTCTGGCTTCTTTAAAGGCTGGTGGCTAGCCAACATGGCTATAACCATCCATTCTAGCTGAGTATTCAGAGTCTTTCTGTGAAGACTTCCCTTTGCAAGAATACAAAAAGGGCAGAATGAGGAGTCTGGCAAGAACTGGATCAGTGATAATATCTGTATTGTAGAGGCACATTTTAGAAACTTCTGTCATCTGTTTAGGCCACTCTCATTTAAATTAGCTTTTGGAATTTCCTCACTGCACAGCAGACTCCTCTCTACATCTCCAGTTCAGGGTTTCTGGATCACAACTGTCACAGAATGGGCTCTTTCAGAAGGAAAAGGAATAGCTAAGACTCTCAGAGGTGATTTCCTTTGTCCTATTCATACAGGAATGTAAAATATGGAGCTAATAAACTTTGTATGATGTTGGTGCCTTTCAAGGCTTTAGGGCAAAATAGTTATTCGGATGGAGGCTGCTCTGCCTGGGAAACAGTACAGGTGGATATGCTTAGGCTATTAGGTAACAAATGAAAGGGAGGACTTTACAAGTGTGTTAGCTGTCATGTAGGAGAAAAAAAAATAATGTTGGAAGGGGGAAGGGGGTGGCTATCAGTAATACGTCTCTTTCTCCAAGTGCTTTGGCCTAGTTTCTAGAGGTCAATAGGTATGATGGAGGCATGAGATGATGTGAAGTAATATGTCCTTCCTGTTCACAGGCTGTTTCACTACTGATAAAATGAAATGGCTTTATGGTCGTTGGCTTGACATGTAGTTCCAGAAGGGACTCTTGGGAACTTTCTTCAGAGAACAGGCAACAGTGCTGGCAAAACATCTGCAGTATTTTTAAATCCCATGCTCTAGTTGTCCATGTTTTCATTGCTGCTTTTGCTGTATGATGTAATACCAGTTACCCATGCAATTTGCCCTGTAAGGTAATTTAAATCAAATCAAGCTGGCACCAAACTTACAACTTTAAAATAGCCAGTATTGATTTGTTTCATGTCTGTGAAATGCTCCGTTGTTGGAAGGCACAGGAGAGCTGGGTCTGGGGAAGTGGTGACATGTTCTTATATGGTAGCATGGAAGCCCAGGCTCTCCAGGGCTTGCAATTCAGACATTTACCACCATTTCTCCTGTGCTGAATTCAGTTTGCTTGAAAGTTTTATAAATAAGTTTGGTCCCTCTTATCCTGGATAATGTTAGGCTTGAGTGAGCCAGGTGCGAAGAAATAAGGCCGCAGCAAGAATGCTGCAATGTGGCTGATAGTACTGAAGGATGTGTGTGTCCTTTGTGGGCAGTTTCAAAAAATCTAGCTGATAGCAAGCTAATTAGTTTACAATGAGCACGTGTAGAGTTCACAGGACACTGAGCAGTGCATGCCTGTGCTGTGTTTTGAAGCAGCAGTTTGCAGTGTGGTCTTCAGACTATTTCCATGCACACTTGCAATGTTCAGTGTGACTGTTTCCTTGGAAATAGATACAGAATCTTTCTGCATCTGTGGAATTCACTAAAAAATGCCCAGCAAGTTGTTAGTATCTGTAACTCTGAAACTAATGAAATGAAAGGTCTGCACTTGGTAAGAGAGTGTCATTTTGCACTCAGGACAATGTTGCAGGGTTTTCTGGGGGGAAGAGTGGGGTGGGGAAGAAGGCTGGCAATGAGTGGGGAAGGGGAAGAACAGTGAAAGAGGTGCCCAAACTTTCCTGGTGTAAATTATAGGTTTTTTTGCTGATGCAAGATCACTTGAATCTTCTATTATTCATTTTCTATTCTTAAAGCAACACTGAGCTAGATCTGCTATGCAGCATTCTTGCTAAGACGTACCTTGTTGGCTTGATTTTGCCTATTCTGAATTGCCTGTGTCTGTGCCAGCAGACACTCCTCAAAAACAGGTGGCATTATCTATTTGATCAAATTCATTCCATTTGGGATTCTGTTTGTTTCTCGTTTGGAAAAAAAAAAAAAAAAAAAAAGGAAATTGTTTACTGGCTTCAGCTGTGGTGTTGTGGCAGCACTGGTCTGACCCTCTATGACCTCTCATTCCTTTTATCTCCAAGGCCTAGTGCTCAGTGCCAAATGTTTCTCCCAAGTTGCAGTTCATCAGAGAGATGAACTGAATCTTGATAAGGTCTTTGTCCTTCCCCTGTCATTCACTGCCCTTTGAAGTAGGCTAAAACTCTCTGCTTCTTTGCTTCCTTTCATGGTGCACTTTGCTGTTCTGTACCAAGGGAGATGTTTTCCAAATACTTCAGTCCGTGCCCTTAGCAAGACAGGTAGTAATGGAATAGCGCTGCTTCTCAAGCAGTGCTTGGTCCAGCAGTGCCCAGCTCTGTGTGCCCTGGTATCCTGACCCTCCGGCTGCCAAGCAACCCTTTCTGCTGGCTCTGCTCTCACAGCCAGCCTCCTGGTGGAAGTAGGTCCCTATCCTGGTCTCTGTGCTGTGAGAGTGTGCTAAGTCACTGAGCAAATGACTTCATACCAAGTTAAGTTACTCTATACTCTTCTGAAGTGATCTGTTCTCTCTCAAGGTAGATTGAGCAACCGTGAAGTGAAAAAGAGGGAGGAATTTCCATACCTAGGAGATGAGGAACCCCATCCAGTCTGATACATGCTGTTCCTTCAGGCAGGTGGAAAAAGTGCCCAGAATTTTTGTCAGATAGTGCAGTGTTTCTTGGTAGAATGACGATATCCAGAACCTGCTGATTGCTGTCTGTTACTTATTCCTGCTTGAGCCTTTTCTTATAAGGAGTTTCTTGCACTAATTCACTCCAGCTGCTGCTTAGTTTGAAAGCCTGAGAGATTTGGAAGATGCACACTGTCCCCTAGAGTGCTGGATCTCCTCTCCTCTCTCCCACTGGGAACTTCTTAAAATATGAAGATGCAGTGACAGGCATACTGGGAGGCAACATAACTGGATTTCTTCGCTGCCTAAAGAATGCAGCTCGTTTCTTTCCAGCCAAAGGGAAGTTGTGCCACACGTTTGAAACAAAACAAGCAAACACAGAAAAATTATTTTCTTTATCTGTGGAATGTTGAGG